GATAAACCACAGAATTCTGCAGGAGGCTGCAACTGGATTTAAAGTGGATTAATTCTCTAGTGTGATGAGGCCACTATAGTATCTTCATATTATATAGGCTTTGGGTCAAAGCCCACACAGTGGAATTTCTCACCCACATCCTACCTTCTGAGCAGGACCGTAGCCAGAAAAAAAATTAGGGAGGGGTTGAAAATTTCGGGGGGGGGGGGGGGTGTTGAAAATTTCAGGGGAGGGGGGGTTGAAACCTGCCTCCTAGCTCACACTGAAGCAAAGAGCACAGCAGGGGGCAGAGCAGCCTTCAATAGCCTGCAGCTCCGCCCCTGTCAACCACCTCCACCAAGTCTGGCCTCCTTAATGAGAGCATTCAACACTCCCTCCCCCCAACTTGGTTGCTTCACTACATCGGCTATTGCTGCAAGTAATGACAGTGTGAATAAATTGTCAATATTTGCTTGAGATAGTGCTTGCAGTTCTGGAGGGACTCTTAATTTTTTGCATCTCATAGACTTAGCATGGGGATTTGGTTAACCAGTTAAAATTCATGAGTAAACCAGGGGTTTTTTTAACCTGAAAAATTTCGGGGGGGGGGGTTTGAACCCCTAAACCAACCCCCCTCCCCGGCTAAGTCCAAAGTAAGTAGAGTTTGACAAGTTGGGCACCCTTATTTTAGAGTTTATCCTTATTCCAATTCTGCACTTGGGGCACTAGAAAAATAGACTGTCCTTATTTTAATTAATTAATTATAGTATTACAAGTAATAATTGCGTCTTGTGAAGTTCTTCAGAGATTTTTGAACATTCTCTATGGTTATTTTGGTTACATTATGGAAAAATGAGAATATCTTCATAGCAGAGAATATGTTGGGTTTGGAAAAATCAGGTTCAACTCACAATTCAGGTTTAGGCCAATGGTGATGTACTGTATTGTTGAGAGAAAGAAGGGAGATCAAGGATCAATTGGACTCTTGTAACAAGGTCAGGAACAAAAAAAGTTGACAGGAATAGATAGCAAGAAAGTAACTGCAAAACACTATGACACTCCAGAATGGTATAACATCTAAGTTCAGCACATGGCACTATAGGAGAGGGAAGTAAGAAGTACAATCAATTTAATAAACAAGAGCATCCCAACATAATAAAAATGTAATATTTTAACCAATGGCAGCAAGAATTTAAATAGGATTGTCAATCTGCTCTGAATTCAGCATGCACTAAATACATTCAGCATCTTTGACACCTTTAAAGTTGAGGCTAAACCCAACAGTTGGAAGCCAACAACATCACTGGCTTCACTAGGAATCTCACAATTTTCAACTTTGTATCTCAAGGTCTATACAAATGAAGTAGGAGCAAAGTAAACTTCAGAGGAGAGTTATGCAGCTTTTGTTTCCCAAAACTTCATGGTTACTGTTGGGGTTTTTTTCTCATTAGCTAGATTGGTTTTCAAAGATCTGCTGCTGCTAGAAGTCCTGAAAGACACTTTTGTCAGGAATTTCTGCATGTTCCCATCTTTAAACCACTGAATAAGAGTAGGAGCCAAAAATATTACCAGACCAAAATACACAGGGCTTTTAAAGAGTAAAACTCCACCTTAAACAATCTTTACTTGGGTTCCTTTCATTAGCAGATCATCTTTATTGGAACCAACTTCAAAACCAATGTCTTGCAAGTCTCACAGTACACTAATCATATGGCTGTTCCACCCACTCTCTGGTCACTGATTGCCATAATTTTACAATCTGAAGACAACACATTTTCTGGCCTGTTACCATCCATTCCAGTGTTCATTTTTCATCCATTCAGGTCCTCTAAGGACAGCACGTCCTCTCACACATGTCTGATTTTGCTGCCCCCCTCCCCACCAAGAGTTGCTGTTTGTTGAATTGATTAACATATATAAATGTAAATGATTTGACATTATTGTTGCTGCAATGAGGCTGCAGTGGATCCATCTAGGAGATGCTTGATTAGATCTTGCTTTGGGGAAGAGTTTAAGAGGCATCCTATGGATTTTTCTCTCTCCATAAAGCTTTTTCTGAGGTCCAGCTCCATTGCAGTCTGACCTCTCTATTCTGGCCTTGATTTCTGCAAAAAACATCTTGCAAAGAGCTACAAAAACCAGATCTGCTCTTAAAAGAAGTGATAGAAAGCTGGGTCAACCACACACACACACACACACACACACAAACCCGCTCCAAAAAGATCCCAGAAGCAGGTTCAATGGGTAAGGTGCATTGGCATTTTCTTACCAAGAGAATGGGAATGTCACATTGTATCTTGCTCATGGATGTGTATATGCAGCAATTCCCCTGTGAGTAGAATCTGCTCTAATTTATTAATAACATTCAGCTCCTAGTAATAAGAGAATTCTTTTATCCCCCCCCCCCCCCCCAGTTTGTGTTCAGCCCTATCTGGTTGTATTATGGAAGTATATTGTGGGGATAGCTGCCCAAATGCCCTAAAAGGCAGCAGATCGCATCTGATCATGGAGGCTAAACAGAATCAAGTCTAGTTAGTGGCTGGAAGACCACCAAGGATGCCAAGTGCTGTAGGCTATATTTCAGAGGAAGGAACTAGCAAATCAACTCTATGTATTCCTTCCTAAGAAAACTATGAAATTCTTGGAGTTGGCATAAGTTGACTGGTGAAATACATACAGACATCTTAGGGATATATCAGTCTATTCTGCTTTACGTGAAGTATTGTGTCCACAATTCAAGAAGATATTGACAAGCTGAACATGTCCAAAGGAGGGTGATTAAAATGATCATAGAATCATAGAGTTGTATTTCTACAAAAAATATATAACATAACGATTATGTGTTTTAGCTATGTTTTAACCCACCTTGAGCCACAAGTTGAGGCAGGTGAGAAATAAAATACTACTACTACTACTACTACTACTACTTATTATTATTATTATTATTATTATTATTATTATTATTATATGCTATATCATAGAATTGGAAGAGATTTCATGGGCCATCCAGTCCAACTCTCCGCCAAGAAGCAGGAAAATCACATTCAAAGTACCCCTGACAGATGGCCGTCCAGCCTCTGTTTAAAAGCCTCCAAAGAAGAAGCCTCCACCACATCTAGGGCAGAGAGTTCCACTGCTGAACAGCTTTCACAGTCAGGAAGTTCTTCCTAATGTTTAGGTGGAACATTGCCCTGGAGACAAGGATGCTTCAAACTACAGGAATGGAGATTCCGCCTGAACATTAAGAAGAACTTTCTGACTGCGAGAGCTGTTCAGCAGTGGAACTCTCTGCCCTGGAGTGTGGTGGAGACTCCTTTTTAGGCTTTTAACAGGTGGTGCTTTCCCCGCATGGCAGGGGGTTGATCTGGGTGGTCTGGGAGCTCTCTTTCACTCTAATTTTATAAGATGTGGAGCAATGGTTTCAAAAATATAGAAGATATTCCACATAAATATTAGGAAGAACTTTCTGAAGAGCCATAGAATACACTGTTTCAGAGGGTGGCTAAGTATCGATCACTGGAGGTTCTCAAATACCTGTTGGAAATGCTTCTGGTTGGCATGGCAGGAGATTGGTCTGGATGGCTCTTGTGGTCCCTTCCAACTCTATAGCACTATCATTGTTGTTTGCTGTTGTTATGTGCCTTGAAGTTGAGTCTGATTTGCTTCTGGCAGGAGACTGGTCTGGATGGCCCTTATGGTGTCTTCCAACTCTACAGTGCTATCATTGACCTTGTTGTTTGCTGTTGTTATATGCCTTGAAGTTGAACCTGATTTGTGGCCCGTAGTGTCATAGGAGCTATATTCTGATATGAATAGTCTGACAAAGTTCTCCAAAGTGAACCAGATCGTTTTCATGGCTGGACTCTTTGGTCGACCAGGACCCAACATTTGGAGCATCAAAGCTCTCTTTGCTCTGGTCACATTTGTTTTCTGAAAATGAAGGTAGGCCACACAGCAAGCCCCATCCAGAGTCCGCTAGTTCTGTTTCTGTGTGTGTCAGGAGCAACTTGAGAAACTGCAAGTCACTTCTGGTGTGAGAGAATTGACCATCTGCAAGGATGTTGTCCAGAGGACGCCAGGATATTTTGATGTTTTACTACCCTTGTGGGAGGCTTCTCTCATGTCCCTGCATGGGGAGCTGGAGCTGACAGAGGGAGCTCAACCTGCTCTCCGAGGATGTTGCCCAGGAAACGCCCGATGTTTTACCATCCTTGTGGGAGGTTTATTTATTTCTTTACCGCATTTGTATACCGCCTTTCTCAGCCAGAGGTGACTCAGGTTTCTCTCATGTCCCCTAATGGGAAGCTGGAACTGACATACAGGAGCTCACCCCACTCCCCGGATTTGAACCACCTTTCGGTCAGCAGTCCTGCCAGCACAAAGGTTTAACCCATTGCACTACCAGGGTTTCCTGTTAGGTCTAGTATTAGGGTCGTTTTGGTGGCGGGAGTGGGAGAGAGAGAGGGAGATCCAGCCACTAAAACGTCTTCTCTCTTTCTCTGTATACGTATGCCTTGCCCAAGATGAGCTTGCCTTGTGTGGAGACTTGCACCTATACACTCCCTGCTATGCGTGTCTGTGTCCTTACATGTCGCTCACGGAGGGGGAGAAAGAGCCTCACACGTGTCCCATGCTTGCTTGCTTGCTTGCTTATAGTCACGCGCGCACTCGCGTGTCGCCAGAGAGAGAGAGAGAGCGGGAGGGGGAAAAAAGCCGGGGAGGGCTTATTGCGCGCCACCGTCTCTTCGTTCTCCTCCTCCTTTATCCCCCCTCCCCTTGGCCAAAGAGAGAGCGCGCGCGCCCTTCGCTGAGAGGACTTGGGGGAGCGCGCGCCCCAGGGGAAGAGAGAGAGAGAGGGAGACGAAAGCGAGAGTGCGCGCGCGGAGGAAGCACGGGAGGGAGGGAATATGCGGAGGGAGGATGCGCTGAGCATTACCCAGTTGCCATAGAAACCAGCTTTAGGAGGTGGGCGGCCTGTCAGAGGAGGAAGAGGAGGAGGAAAAGAGGAGGGGGGCGCTGACGAGCGGGAGGAGAGGGGGAGCCATTTGCCCGCAGTCCTCCGCGCTGGTTGAGTCGCAGCTTCTCCAGAGGAAGGAAGGAAGGAGAGGAGAGGAAGACTTCCACCCCGCTCCCCCCCCCCTGCGCCCCGCTTCCAGCCTGGAGGGGCCTGGGAGCCTGCCTGCCTGCCATCCCTTCTGCGCCTCCCGCCTGAGCCACGCAGGTAAGCCGCCTGCTCCTGGGCACAGACCCCGAAACGCGAGGGAGGTCTCTGCTGCGTCCCCTTTTCCCTCCCTTGACCCCAAGAATGGGGGCTCTGGACCCCAGTGCTGCCCCTGGTTGCAGGGAGTCGAGATGAGCGCACCTTTGCTCCCCGGGGCAACTCGTCGCCCCTTCTTCTGTGCTGTGCCTGACAGCTGTCCTTCTGCTTCCCTGGACCTCCTTGCCTATACCAACGCCATCTATGTGGGTCCCTCTCCTCTCGGCGTCATCCTTCACTTGGCCCATCTGGCATTGTGCAGGGGAGGAAGGGCAAAAGCCCGTCTTGGGTTTCATGCCAGCACCTGGTCTGCAGGGCACTCAGAGGGACAGGTGGATGGATCAAGAGCTCCTAGGTCTATGCCTTTTAGCATACGTGTTTGCATGGTCTTACTACCATATGTTGTACCCTGCCTTGGGGAGAAGCAGGTATCGCCACCACCATCATAACCATCATGTTGTGGATGTTGTTGTTTGTATGTTGTACCCTGCCTTGAGGAGAAGCAGGTAGCAGCACCACCACCACCATCATAACCATCATGTTGTGGTTGTTGTTGGCTGTACCTTGTATGTTGTACCCTGCCTTGAGGAGAAGCAGGTAGCACCATCACCACCATCATCATAACCATCATGTTGTGGATGTTGGTTGTATCTTGTATGTTGTACCCTGCCTTGAGGAGAAGCAGGTATCACCACCACCACCACCACCATAACCATCATATTGTGGTTGTTGTTGTTGGTTGTACCTTGTATGTTGTACCCTGCCTTGAGGAGAAGCAGGTATCGCCGCCACCACTATCATAATCATCATGTTGTGGTTGTTGTTGATTGTACCTTGTATGTTGTACCCTGCCTTGAGGAGAAGCAGGTATCACCACCACCATCATCATAACCATCATATTGTGGTTGTTGTTGGTTGTACCTTATATGTTGTACCCTGTCTTGAGGAGAAGCAGGTATCACCACCACCACCACCACCATCATCATTTTGTGATTGTGGTTGTTGGTTGAATTGGCACAGGGTCCCTCTTCCCACATCAATTCATTATGTTGCTGCGAGATAATTCTGCCTTGGGTCACAGAGGTGAACCGATCGAGTCCACAGTCTGCTTTCTAAGCATGATGATTTTTTTCTCCTGTCAGGAGCGACTTGAAAAACTGCAAGTCGCTTCTGGTGTGAGAGAATTGACCACTTGCAAGGACGTTGCCCAGGGGACAATGCCTGGATGTTTTTGATGTTTTGCCATCCTTGCGGGAGGCTTCTCTCATGTCCTCACATGGGGAGCCGAAGCTGACAGAGGGAGCTCAACCTGCTCTCCCTGGATTTGAACTGCTGACCTATCAATCAGCAGTCCTACCAGCACAGGGGTTTAACCCATTGCACCACTGGATACTTCTAGCATGATTATGATGACTTTCCCTGTCTGCACCATTCTCTTTCAAGGAGAACTGCGCTGCTCCTTCATTTATGTAATTTTTCTGGGAGAACCACTGCATGATGCTTCTTATGTATTTCCTTAATTGGCGGTGTCAAATGGGGAAGAGGGGGAGTCCCACCTGCCCCTCCTCCACCATTTCCTTTGGACCTTGGAGTACAATGTAGCTACTAGCTAGTCCTTTTGACCTTTGCCCTCTCTAGATCAGCTGATGTGGAATGACAGTATGCCAGGTCAAGGCCTGCATCTGCAGTCCGTCTGTGGACATCTACAATGCTTCAACCAGTTATTGATAATCTCAGAAAAGAGGGGGCAGATCTGGAGAGAGAAATGAACATGGTGGGCAGAAGCCAGGAGCATCAATATGCTCGATTCTTCCTTTCAAGTGTGTCTGTCCTCTTCCTCCAGAGGAATGAACCGTTCTGCTGAAGAAGGGCAATGAGCCACATGATCAAAGTGAACACATGATTTGTACCTATTCCTATAGGTCAGTTGTGGAAATGGAGACCTGTGTCCAGAGCAAAAAGCAGGGAGTACAAGGTTAACCACAGCTTTAGGGAGAAGTTTAGTTGAGGGGTGGACAGGGCAACTGTGGCTTTCCAAAGGTGTGTAGATTTCAATGTGGACTCTCTTTTCATTGTTTATGCTGATGAGAATTGTAGTCCAACACCCCCTGAAGAGCCACAGTTTGCAAATCCTGGGCTAAAGTGAGGGCTCAAGTTAAACTCTTAGATATCTAATCTGAGACAGGCAGGGTCATCCTATCTATGTCTGCATCTTCTTGAGGATCTGATTTCTTGAGTGAATGCAAATCACTTAGATATGATCAATCTGCCAACTCAACCAGTGACATGTTAAATGACATGAACCTGCCCATGATGGGATCAGGACAAGATCTGGTCACTATTAATTAGCTGGAGTAAAAGTAGCAGCAATATGCAACTGCCATTACAGGTTATGGGGAACTGGCCATCCTGAACTGTGACTAGATGCAGAACCCTCCTTTAGTAACCTTTACACATTTCAGCAGAGTCACAGAAATCTATTGCACTTCCTTCCAATATACATATTTCCACCAACATACAGAAGGCATGATTATCTCAACTGCTACGTTGTCCTCTTTCACAGTCATCACAAACACTATTTTGAACATAATATCATCTGTCTTTGCTTGCAGGTTTAGCTGCATTGCAACTAGCAACCATTTCCCCCAGTTCTCTTCTGCATCACATACAAATGATTTGCTCCTAGCAAACACATTGCATTATATTGCTTTGCATTTTCTCACCAATCTTTTACAATTGCTATGGCAAACTGCCTTCAGTTTTGACCCCATCTGTATGACTTTATAAAACAAAGCTAAGTGGCATAGGTGCAAATTAGAGCTGGTCAGTAGGATTTTATTGACAGAAGTGACAGCCTTAAGACCTCTATACATTGCAGAGACTCTAAATCTACTCTTTCCTTAATATTAGAATAAATGTGACAGACTTGGTGTTCTATATGATTATCTTTCTTGTCACTGTCATCTTTTATTTTTATTTGTCTTAAGATCTCCAAATATCTGAAGATACGTCACCTCTGACATGATTGCAAGCTCTCCTAGGCAGGGACCTGATATATGACCTTATTTTTCTGTAGGACAGTTTGTACCTTTGGAGAACAAGGCACCAAACAGAGTCTCTAAAAGTTCAGAGATCATTCCAAATTCTCTCTGCTTAGTGAGATCTACAAATCTTCAAAGCAGTGAAGGGGAGGGGACCCATGCAAATAGACATGTTTTGCAATGAGAACTGTGCAAAGATATTTTTCATCTCTGGCATTCTTCCAAATGCTGCAGAATGTGAATATGTGAATTCATGGCCCAGTGAGGCTTCAGTGTTCCTTCACCTGTGTCTGTAGCATTTTGACATTAACGACTGAAGTATTTTCAAGCAAGCTTCAGCCTCAGGGCTTGTGTGCTCTTCCATCATGGAAGCAGTCACCTGGAACGTGGATGCAATGACTGCGTTTGAACTGAAGTCCTAAAAATCCATGAAGCTTGCTGTGATATGTTGGATGCATGGTCCTTGTTTACTTGTCTGGGCTGTATAACATGTCTCCCACTTATACTGCAGAGTGGTTGCACTCTGCTAGATAGACAAGCAAAATAAAATTCAATTCAATTCTGTGCTCATAATTCTATGGACTGCAATAGTTTGCAGCATCGCAATGTAATTCAGTTCTATGTACCCTGGAAGGGAGGAGAAATGCAGGGAAGAAAGGCTTTTAAGTCTCTAAACTTTGATAAAAGACAGCAATGTGAATGTACAAAAAATTTACAAAATATTAGCTTCCAACAACAAAAATAAATAAAAAACAGCAACCCTGCTCCCCAAACACATTGTAGCATGTGTGTGGTTGTGTCCAATTGTTATTTTTGAAGGGAAAAAAACCTCATTTTCCTTCCTGAGAATAGGATTTTGAACAACAAGCACCAATATGAAACATGCAAAGTTATAAGAATTGGATGTCCTGCCATTTGGGTTCAAGGCTTCCAAAACCTACACAGTGGCTGATTCATATTATTTTTATAATTACCGTATGTTGCATAGAAATCTTGCTTTCTCCCTTCTCACTTTCTATATGACCTAGACTCGTGGTTCCCAACCTTTGGTCCTCCAAGTGTTGTGGACTTCAGCACCCACATTTCCTAACAGTTATTACTGGCTAGGATTTCTAGGGGTTGAAATCCAAAACAACTGGAGGACCAAAGGTTGGGAACCACTGCTGTGGACTGACTTTCTGATTATAAGAAAAGAGGTGTACAAATCAAATAACTATATGATGATGGTTTTTGATAGATGGATAAAATGTAAAGAGTTTTAAGACATAGCTTTTTTGTTTGTTTTGAATGAAACTTCAAGACTGCTAAGATTCTTTAAACCTAAAACATTGTGGGCAATGGCTGGTGACAACGCAGAATCATAAGGAGGCTCAGCGCATGATCAAAGAGGCCCAACCTCAGTGTTCATCCACCCGATACCTCAAAGCTCCCACAAAAATCATTTATGCACAAATAGATTTAGTATATATTATTGTTAGAGTCCACAGAACAAGGCTTTTTCTAGCATAGAAATTGAATGGTTCTGGTGCAGATTTAAAATAATAATAATAATAATCTGTATACTATATATGTTATTGATTTTGACACTTAAGATATATGGCAAAACATAGCAATATTGTCTGTACTTCTAACATAACTTCAGTCTTCAACAGAATGGTATAGTAACTTTCATTGCATGTTGTTTTAAATTAGAAATCTTAGAAATCTATTCTTTTTTTTTTTTAAGGAATGGTCATTATAAAATGGGAAACAAGATTTGCAAATGTTTTTGAAACCCAGTGTAATGTAGTAGATCGAGACATGTACTGGGGAACCCAGACTCATATTTCTGCTCAGATGAGAAGCAAAGCTGATTGATCTTGGGTTAGTCACTGTCTCTTAGCATAACCTGCCTTCCTGCAACATGGTGCTATGCATATATTT